GAAAGAGAAGGGGGAGAGGCTTGGAGAAGGCAAGCTCTTTCTCACTTGCTTTACCGATGCTACGTGGGCCTCTGAGAAGGAGGATTCCTCATCTGTGGGAGGATACATCTGCGTAGTTGGGGGAGGACCGGTTAGTTGGAGGTCAAAGAAGCAGACGGAGACAGCACTCTCTTCCGTGGAGTCAGAGTACATGGCAATGTTTCATGGGGTGAAGGAGGTGATTTGGCTGAGGAGGCTGTTGGAGGAGATTGGCCAGGAGCAAAAGGTTGCTACGCCGCTGTTTTGTGATAGCAAGGGAGCTCTTGGAATGGCCAGGAACGCTGTGCTTCATGGGCTCAATAAGCACATGCGTATCAAGTGGCACTGGCTGCGTAAGGAGGTGAAGAGGGGGACGGTGAATCCGATCTACATCAAGACTCACCAGCAGCCAGCAGACTTCCTCACCAAGAGGCTTGCAGATGAGCCTCATTGGCGTTGTGTGCGCATGAGTGGAATGAGCATGAACTAGTATGGAATGATGGGGATGCAGCCGGCAGGCTGAGGGGGAGTGTGTTGGGTGCAAATTCACATTGCACGACATCCTGCCGTCTGTTTGTACGAGTATGCGTGTGCGAATGCATTTGGGTATGAATGGAATGTTCGTGTGTTTGTTTGCTTTCGCAATTTTCGCTTGAAGCATTTGCTGGTACTCACGCATTGTGCGCTTCGGCATAACATTGTACGCGCTATGAACAGTACAAGCAGAAAGGACGAGCTCGCAAAGGAACCCAAGAGGGAAGCTTTGCGGTTCGGCTTACTTGATTGCGCAGATTCAGTTCTATCCAACTCGAAATTGTACTGTTTTGTTTGGTTGACTATAGTGTAGCAGGGCAGGCACTATAGGGGTACAATTTAGGTGAAGGTTGGATGTTGTTTGTCTGTATCTGCATGCTACATGGCCAGGGGAAACCAGCGGAACCAGCATTTGGCTGGTTGGGCAAAGACAAAACAGGTTCTGTTTTTAGGACCTGAACCTGGTTGTTGTTTTCCCAGGTTGGAAAAACAGAACCAGAGGTTGTTTACCAACCTACCACCTGCTGTTTTGTCCAGACAGGTTGGTTCTGTTGCTTGGAATTATTTGGGATCATCCTTGGTTGTTCCCAGGTTTATTCCCAAGGTCCTTGCTAGCTAGAACTATTTATTCTTTCTCTGTTTGTACCTGGATATAGTCAATTTGATTCAAGCGAATTTCTCCCTTCCTGGAATTTCGTTTCTACGCGGTGCGACGGCGGAATGCTACCCGAGTCAACGCTAGTACGCTAGCACTCCAACACTAGGCAAACGCTGTCCGAGCCATAACTTCGTAATGGCAGAACTTTTCGCGAGGCAACTTGGTTCATTTTAAAGCTCTTGGAGCGAGCTTCGATATAGGAAATTCTCAGCTTAATCCGATCAACGGTCTGCACGATACGCTGCGCGACGTTCAAGGTACTCTTGCTGTTTTGACTAAGTCCCTCTTGATCCCTCTCTCTACAAACTCGGACCCGAGGATAGGGGCTGGTCTTGTACCAGGCACCCAAGGACCCTTGGAGGTGACCCCGAGGAGAGGTTTTAAGTTTGATAAAGTCTTAATAGCTTGAGTTTATTAGGCCCTTACACCAACAGTACTTTCTGAGCATAGTGGATGACTGGAGCAGGATTATGTGGGCATATCTACTGAAGCAGAAGGACCACTCCGCCTCTATGATACAGAAAGATTGGCTGCCATTTGTGGAGAAGCAAGCGGAGTGTGTGTTGAAGCAGATTAGGACAGACCGGGGTGGTGAGTTCCTTGGAGCTGAGATGACGGCCTGGCTCAAGAAGCAGGGCATCCAGAGGGAGCTGACCACGGCTTGTTGGTGTAAGGGCCTAATAAACTCAACCTATTAAGACTTAATCAAACTTAAAACCTCTCCTCGGGGTCACCTCCAAGGGTCCTTGGGTGCCTGGTACAAGACCAGCCCCTATCCTCGGGTCCGTGTTTGTAGAGAACGAAGTCAAGAATGACTTAGCCAAAATAACAAGAGTACCTTGAACGTTGCGCAGTGTATCATGCAGACCGTCGATCAGATTAAGCTGAGAATTTCCTATATCGAAGCTCGCTCCAAGAGCTTTAAAATGAACCAAGTTGCCTCGCGGAAAATTCTGCCATTACGAAGTTATAGCTCGGAAAGCGTTTGCCTGCGTAGAAACGAAATTCCAGGAAGGGATGAATTCGCTTGAATCAAATTGAGTATATCCAGGTACAAACAGAGAAGGAATAAATAGTTCTAGCTAGCAAGGACCTTGGGAATCAACCTGGGAACAACCAAGGATGATCCCAAATAATTCCAAGCAACAGAACCAACCTGGCTGGACAAAACAGCAGGTGGTAGGTTGGTAAACAACCTCTGGTTCTGTTTTTTCCAACTTGGGAAAACAACAACCAGGTTCAGGTCCTAAAAACAGAAACTGTTTTGTCTTTGCCCAACCAGCCAAATGCTGGTTCCGCTGGTTTCCCCTGGCCCTGTAGCATGCAGATACAAACAAACAACATCCAACCTTCACCTAAATTGTACCTTTATATTGCCTGCCCTGCTACACTATAGTCAACCAAACAAAACAGTACAATTTCGAGTTGGATAGAACTGAATCTGCGCAATCAAGTCAGTTGAACCGCAAAGCTTCCATCTTGGGTTCCTTTGCGAGCTCGTCCTTTCTGCTTATACTGTTCATAGCGCGTACAATGTTGTGCCGAAGCGCACATTGCGCGAATACCTGCAAATGCATCAAGCGAAAATTGCGAAAGAAAACAAACAAACGGGCCAGTTGGTCCTCTGGACCGATTGGACTAACCGGCCAGTTGGTCCTGTGGACCGGTTGGACCAACCAGCCAGTTGGTCCTCTGGACCGGTTGGACTAACCGGCTAGTTGGTCCTGTGGACCGGTTGGACTAGCCGGCCAGTTGGTCCTGTGGACCGGTTGGACCAGCCGGCCTGTTGGTCCAATGGACCGGTTGGACCAACCGGCCAGTTGGTCCCGTGGACCGGTTTGACAAGCCAGCTAGTTGGTCCTGTGGACCGGTTGGACCAGCGGGCCAGTTGGTCCCGTGGACCGGTTGGACCAACGAGCCTGTTGGTCCTGTGGACCGGTTGGACCAACCGGCTTGTTGGTTCTATGGACCGGTTGGACCAACCGATTTGTTGGTCCTATGGACCGGTTGGACCAACTGGCCATTGGGTCCCGTGGACCGGTTGGACCAACCGGCCTTTGGGTCCTGTGGACTGATTGGACCAACCGATTTGTTGGTCCTATGGACCGGTTGGACCAACTGGCCATTGGGTCCCGTGGACCGGTTGGACCAACCTGCCTGTTGGTCCTGTGGACTAGTTGGACCAACCGGCCTGTTGGCCCTGTGGACCGGCTGGACCAACTGGCCATTTGGCCCTGTGGACCGGTTGGACCAACCGGCCTGTTGGTTCCTATGGACCGATAGGACCAACCGGCCTGTTGGTCTGGCGGACCGGTTGCCAGTTGGTTCTGTGGACCGGTTGGACCAACCGGCCAGTTGGTCTTGTGGACCGGTTGGACCAACCGGCCTGTTGGTCCTAAGGACTGGTTGGACCAACTGGCCAGTTAGTCCTGTGGACTGGTTGGACCAACCGGCTAGTTGGTCCTGTGGACCGGTTGGACCAACTGGCCATTTGGTCCTGTGGACCGGTTGGACCAACCGACCTGTTGGTCCTGTGGACCGGTTGGACCAACCGGCCTGTTGGTCCTGTGGACCGGTTGGACCAACCGGCCTGCTGGTCCTGTGGACCGGTTAGAACAACCGTCTAGTTGGTCCTGTGGACCGGTTGGACCAGCCGGCCAGTTGGTCCTGTGGACCGGTTGGACAAGCCGGCCAGTTGGTCCAATGGACCGGTTGGACCAGCCGACCAGTTGGTCCTGTGGACCGGTTGGACCAGCCGGCCAGTTGGTCCTGTAGACCGGTTGGACCAGCCGGCCAGTTGGTCCTGTGGATCGGTTGGACCAGCCGGCCAGTGGTCCTGTGGACCGGTTGGACCAACCGGCCAGTTGGTCCTGTGGACCGGTTGGACCAACCGGCCAGTTGGTCCTGTGGACCGGTTGGACCAACCGGCCTGATGGTCCTGTGGACCGGTTGGACCAACCGGCCAGTTGGTCCTGTGGACCGGTTGGACCAACCGGCCTGTTGGTCCTGTGGACCAGTTGGAACAACCGGCTAGTTGGTCCTGTGTACCGGTTGGACCAACCGGCCAGTTGGTCCTGTGGACCGGTTGGACCAACCGGCCAGTTGGTCCTCTGGACTGATTGGACTAACCGGCCAGTTGGTCCTGTGGACCGGTTGGACCAACCGGCCAGTTGGTCCTCTAGACCGGTTGGACTAACCGGCCAGTTGGTCCTGTGGACCGGTTGGACCAGCCGGCCAGTTGGTCCTGTGGACCGGTTGGACCAGCCGGCCTGTTGGTCCAATGGACCGGTTGGACCAACCGGCCAGTTGGTCCCGTGGACCGGTTTGACAAGACGGCTAGTTGGTCCTGTGGACCGGTTGGACCAGCGGGCCAGTTGGTCCTGTGGACCAGTTGGACCAACGAGCCTGTTGGTCCTGTGGACCGGTTGGACCAACCGGCCTGTTGGTCCTGTGGACCGGTTGGACCAACCGGCCTGTTGGTCCTGTGGACCGGTTGGACCAACCGGCCTGTTGGTCCTGTGGACCGGTTGGAACAACCGGCTAGTTGGTCCTGTGGACCGGTTGGACCAACCGGCCTATTGGTCCTGTGGACTGGTTGGACCAACCGGCCAGTTGGTCCTCTGGACCGGTTGGACCAACCGGCCAGTTGGTCCTGTGGACCGGTTGGACCAACCGGCCAGTTGGTCCTGTGGACCGGTTGGACCAACCGGCCAGTTGGTCCTGTGGACCGGTTGGACCAGCCGGCCAGTTGGTCCTGTGGACCGATTGGACCAGCCGGCCAGTTGGTCCAATGGACCGGTTGGACCAGCCGGCCAGTTGGTCCTGTGGACCGGTTGGACCAGCCGGCCAGCTGGTCCTATGGACCGGTTGGACCAACCGGCCAGTTGGTCCTATGGACCGGTTGGACCAACCGGCCAGTTGGTCCTCTGGACCAGTTGGACTAACCAGCCAATTGGTCCTGTGGACCGGTTGGACTATCCGGCCAGTTGGTCCTGTGGACCGGTTGGACCAGCCGGCCAGTTGGTCCTGTGGACCGGTTGGACCAACCGGCCAGTTGGTCCTATGGACCGGTTGGACCAACCGGCCTGTTGGTCCTGTGGACCGGTTGGACCAACTGGCCTGTTGGTCCTGTGGACTGGTTGGACCAACCGGCCTGTTGGTCCTGTGGACCGGTTGGACCAACCGGCCTGTTGGTCCTGTGGACTGGTTGGAACAACCGGCTAGTTGGTCCTGTGGACCGGTTGGACCAACCGGCCAGTTGGTCCTGTGGACCGGTTGGACCAACCGGCCAGTTGGTCCTCTGGACCGATTGGACTAACTGGCCAGTTGGTCCTGTGGACCGGTTGGACCAACCGGCCAGTTGGTCCTGTGGACCGGTTGGACCAACCGACCAGTTGGTCCTGTGGACCAATTGGACCAACCGGCCAGTTGGTCCTGTGGACCGGTTGGACCAACCGGCCTGTTGGTCCTGTGGACAGGTTGGACCAACCGGCCTGTTGGTCCTGTGGACCGGTTGGACCAACCGGCCTGTTGGTCCTGTGGACCGGTTGGAACAACCGGCTAGTTGGTCCTGTGGACCGGTTGGACCAACCGGCTAGTTGGTCCTGTGGACCGGTTGGACCAACCGGCGAGTTGGTCCTCTGGACCGGTTGGACTAACCGGCCAGTTGGTCCTGTGGACCGGTTGGACCAACCGGCCACTTGGTCCTCTGGACCGGTTGGACTAACCGGCCAGTTGGTCCTGTGGACCGGTTGGACCAGCCGGCCAGTTGGTCCTGTGGACCGGTTGGACCAGCCGGCCAGTTGGTCCTGTGGACCGGTTGGACCAGCCGACCAGTTGGTCCTGTGGACCGGTTGGACCAACCGGCCAGTTGGTCCTGTGGACCGGTTGGACCAACCGGCCAGTTGGTCCTGTGGACCGGTTGGACCAACCGGCCTGTTGGTCCTGTGGACCGGTTGGACCAACCGGCCTGTTGGTCCTGTGGACCGGTTGGACCAACCGGCCTGTTGGTCCTGTGGACCGGTTGGAACAACCGGCTAGTTGGTCGTGTGTACCGGTTGGACCAACCGGCTAGTTGGTCCTGTGGACCGGTTGGACCAACCGGCCAGTTGGTCCTCTGAACCGATTGGACTAACCGGCCAGTTGGTCCTGTGGACCGGTTGGACCAACCGACCAGTTGGTCCTCTGGACCGGTTGGACTAACCGGCCAGTTGGTCCTGTGGACCGGTTGAACCAGCCGGCCAGTTGGTCCTGTGGACCGGTTGGACCAGCCGGCCTGTTGGTCCAATGGACCGGTTGGACCAACCGGCCAGTTGGTCCCGTGGACCGGTTTGACAAGCCGGCTAGTTGGTCCTGTGGACCGGTTGGACCAGCGGGCCAGTTGGTCCTGTGGACCGGTTGGACCAACGAGCCTGTTGGTCCTGTGGAACGGTTGGACCAACCGGCCTGTTGGTTCTATGAACCGGTTGGACCAACTGGCCATTGGGTCCCGTGGACCGGTTGGACCAACCGGCCGTTGGGTCCTGTGGACTGATTGGACCAACCGGCCTGTTGGTCCTCTGGACTGGTTGGACCAACCTGCCTGTTGGTCCTGTAGACTAGTTGGACCAACCGGCCTGTTGGCCCTGTGGACCGGCTGGACCAACTGGCCATTTGGCCCTGTGGACCGGTTGGACCAACCGGCCTGTTGGTTCCTATGGACCGATTGGACCAACCGGCCAGTTGGTCCCGTGGACCGGTTTGACCAACCGGCCTGTTGGTCTGGCGGACCGGTTGCCAGTTGGTCCTGTGGACCGGTTGGACCAACCGGCCAGTTGGTCCTGTGGACCGGTTGGACCAACGGGCCAGTTGGTCCTGTGGACCGGTTGGACCAACCCGCCTGTTGGTCCTTTGGACCCGTTGGACCAACCGGCCAGTTGGTCCTCTGTACCGGTCGGACCAAACGGCCTGTTGGTCCTGTGGACCGGTTGGACCAACCGGCTAGTTTGTCCTGTGGACCGGTTGGACCAACCGGCCAGTTGGTCCTGTGGACCGGTTGGACCAACCGGCCTGTTGGTCCTGTGGACCAGTTGGAACAACCGGCTAGCTGGTCCTGTGGACCGGTTGGACCAACCGGCCAGTTGGTCCTGTGGACCGGTTGGACCAACCGGCCAGTTGGTCCTGTGGACCGGTTGGACCAACCGGCCTATTGGTCCTGTGGACTGGTTGGACCAACCGGCCAGTTGGTCCTCTGGACCGGTTGGACCAACCGGCCAGTTGGTCCTGTGGACCGGTTGGACCAACCGGCCAGTTGGTCCTGTGGACCGGTTGGACCAACCGGCCAGTTGGTCCTGTGGACCGGTTGGACCAGCCGGCCAGTTGGTCCTGTGGACCGATTGGACCAGCCGGCCAGTTGGTCCAATGGACCGGTTGGACCAGCCGGCCAGTTGGTCCTGTGGACCGGTTTGACCAACCGGCCTGTTGGTCTGGCGGACCGGTTGCCAGTTGGTCCTGTGGACCGGTTGGACCAACCGGCCAGTTGGTCCTGTGGACCGGTTGGACCAAAGGGCCAGTTGGTCCTGTGGACCGGTTGGACCAACCCGCCTGTTGGTCCTTTGGACCCGTTGGACCAACCGGCCAGTTGGTCCTCTGTACCGGTCGGACCAAACGGCCTGTTGGTCCTGTGGACCAGTTGGAACAACCGGCTAGCTGGTCCTGTGGACCGGTTGGACCAACCGGCCAGTTGGTCCTGTGGACCGGTTGGACCAACCGGCCAGTTGGTCCTGTGGACCGGTTGGACCAACCGGCCTATTGGTCCTGTGGACTGGTTGGACCAACCGGCCAGTTGGTCCTCTGGACCGGTTGGACCAACCGGCCAGTTGGTCCTGTGGACCGGTTGGACCAACCGGCCAGTTGGTCCTGTGGACCGGTTGGACCAACCGGCCAGTTGGTCCTGTGGACCGGTTGGACCAGCCGGCCAGTTGGTCCTGTGGACCGATTGGACCAGCCGGCCAGTTGGTCCAATGGACCGGTTGGACCAGCCGGCCAGTTGGTCCTGTGGACCGGTTGGACCAGCCGGCCAGCTGGTCCTATGGACCGGTTGGACCAACCGGCCAGTTGGTCCTATGGACCGGTTGGACCAACCGGCCAGTTGGTCCTCTGGACCAGTTGGACTAACCGGCCAATTGGTCTTGTGGACCGGTTGGACTATCCGGCCAGTTGGTCCTGTGGACCGGTTGGACCAGCCGGCCAGTTGGTCCTGTGGACCGGTTGGACCAACCGGCCAGTTGGTCCTGTGGACCGGTTGGACCAACCGGCCTGTTGGTCCTGTGGACCGGTTGGACCAACCGGCCTGTTGGTCCTGTGGACCGGTTGGACCAACCGGCCTGTTGGTCCTGTGGACCGGTTGGACCAACCGGCCTGTTGGTCCTGTGGACCGGTTGGAACAACCGGCTAGTTGGTCCTGTGGACCGGTTGGACCAACCGGCCAGTTGGTCCTGTGGACCGGTTGGACCAACCGGCCAGTTGGTCCTCTGGACCGATTGGACTAACTGGCCAGTTGGTCCTGTGGACCGGTTGGACCAACCGGCCAGTTGGTCCTGTGGACCGGTTGGACCAACCGACCAGTTGGTCCTGTGGACCAATTGGACCAACCGGCCAGTTGGTCCTGTGGACCGGTTGGACCAACCGGCCTGTTGGTCCTGTGGACCGGTTGGACCAACCGGCCTGTTGGTCCTGTGGACCGGTTGGACCAACCGGCCTGTTGGTCCTGTGGACCGGTTGGAACAACCGGCTAGTTGGTCCTGTGGACCGGTTGGACCAACCGGCTAGTTGGTCCTGTGGACCGGTTGGACCAACCGGCGAGTTGGTCCTCTGGACCGGTTGGACTAACCGGCCAGTTGGTCCTGTGGACCGGTTGGACCAACCGGCCACTTGGTCCTCTGGACCGGTTGGACTAACCGGCCAGTTGGTCCTGTGGACCGGTTGGACCAGCCGGCCAGTTGGTCCTGTGGACCAGTTGGACCAGCCGGCCAGTTGGTCCTGTGGACCGGTTGGACCAGCCGACCAGTTGGTCCTGTGGACCGGTTGGACCAACCGGCCAGTTGGTCCTGTGGACCGGTTGGACCAACCGGCCAGTTGGTCCTATGGACCGGTTGGACCAACCGGCCTGTTGGTCCTGTGGACCGGTTGGACCAACCGGCCTGTTGGTCCTGTGGACCGGTTGGACCAACCGGCCTGTTGGTCCTGTGGACCGGTTGGAACAACCGGCTAGTTGGTCGTGTGGACCGGTTGGACCAACCGGCTAGTTGGTCCTCTGGACCGGTTGGACCAACCGGCCAGTTGGTCCTCTGAACTGATTGGACTAACCGGCCAGTTGGTCCTGTGGACCGGTTGGACCAACCGACCAGTTGGTCCTCTGGACCGGTTGGACTAACCGGCCAGTTGGTCCTGTGGACCGGTTGAACCAGCCGGCCAGTTGGTCCTGTGGACCGGTTGGACCAGCCGGCCTGTTGGTCCAATGGACCGGTTGGACCAACCGGCCAGTTGGTCCCGTGGACCGGTTTGACAAGCCGGCTAGTTGGTCCTGTGGACCGGTTGGACCAGCGGGCCAGTTGGTCCTGTGGACCGGTTGGACCAGCCGGCCAGTTGGTCCTGTGGACCGGTTGGACCAGCCGGCCAGTTGGTCCTGTGGACCGGTTGGACCAGCCGACCAGTTGGTCCTGTGGACCGGTTGGACCAACCGGCCAGTTGGTCCTGTGGACCGGTTGGACCAACCGGCCAGTTGGTGCTGTGGACCGGTTGGACCAACCGGCCAGTTGGTCCTGTGGACCGGTTGGACCAACCGGCCTGTTGGTCCTGTGGACCGGTTGGACCAACCGGCCTGTTGGTCCTGTGGACCGGTTGGACCAACCGGCCTGTTGGTCCTGTGGACCGGTTGGAACAACCGGCTAGTTGGTCGTGTGGACCAGTTGGACCAACCGGCTAGTTGGTCCTGTGGACCGGTTGGACCAACCGGCCAGTTGGTTCTCTGAACCGATTGGACTAACCGGCCAGTTGGTCCTGTGGACCGGTTGGACCAACCGACCAGTTGGTCCTCTGGACCGGTTGGACTAACCGGCCAGTTGGTCCTGTGGACCGGTTGAACCAGCCGGCCAGTTGGTCCTGTGGACCGGTTGGACCAGCCGGCCTGTTGGTCCAATGGACCGGTTGGACCAACCGGCCAGTTGGTCCCGTGGACCGGTTTGACAAGCCGGCTAGTTGGTCCTGTGGACCGGTTGGACCAGCGGGCCAGTTGGTCCTGTGGACCGGTTGGACCAACGAGCCTGTTGGTCCTGTGGAACGGTTGGACCAACCGGCCTGTTGGTTCTATGAACCGGTTGGACCAACTGGCCATTGGGTCCCGTGGACCGGTTGGACCAACCGGCCGTTGGGTCCTGTGGACTGATTGGACCAACCGGCCTGTTGGTCCTCTGGACTGGTTGGACCAACCTGCCTGTTGGTCCTGTAGACTGGTTGGACCAACCGGCCTGTTGGCCCTGTGGACCGGCTGGACCAACTGGCCATTTGGCCCTGTGGACCGGTTGGACCAACCGGCCTGTTGGTTCCTATGGACCGATTGGACCAACCGGCCAGTTGGTCCCGTGGACCGGTTTGACCAACCGGCCTGTTGGTCTGGCGGACCGGTTGCCAGTTGGTCCTGTGGACCGGTTGGACCAACCGGCCAGTTGGTCCTGTGGACCGGTTGGACCAACGGGCCAGTTGGTCCTGTGGACCGGTTGGACCAACCCGCCTGTTGGTCCTTTGGACCCGTTGGACCAACCGGCCAGTTGGTCCTCTGTACCGGTCGGACCAAACGGCCTGTTGGTCCTGTGGACCGGTTGGACCAACCGGCTAGTTCGTCCTGTGGACCGGTTGGACCAGCCGGCCAGTTGGTCCTGTGGACCGGTTGGACCTACCGGCCTGTTGGTCCTTTGGACCCGTCGAACCAACCGGCCTGTTGGTCCTGTGGACCGGTTTGACCAACCGGCCAGCTGGTCCTGTGGACCGGTTGGACCAACCAGCCTGTTGGTCCTGTGGACCGGTTGGACCAACCGGCCAGTTGGACCTGTGGACCGGTTGGACCAACCGGCCAGTTGGTCCTGTGGACCGGTTGGACCAACCAGCCTGTTGGTCCTGTGGACCGGTTGGACCAACCGGCCAGTTGGACCTGTGGACCGGTTGGACCAACCGGCCAGTTGGTCCTGTGGACCGGTTGGACCAACCGGCCAGTTGGTCCTGTGGACCGGTTGGACCAACCAGCTTGTTGGTCCTGTGGACCGGTTGGACCAACCGGCCAGTTGGTCCAATGGACCTGTTGGACCAACCGGCCTGTTGGCCCTGTGGACCGGTTGGACCAACCGGCGTGTTGGTCCAATGGACCGGTTGGACCAGCCGGCCAGTTGGTACTGTCGACCGGTTGGACCAACTGGCCTATTGGCCCTGTGTACTGGTTGGACCAACAGTCCATTGGGTCCCGTGGACCGGTTGGACCAACCGGCCTTTAAATCCTGTGGACCGATTGGACCAACTGGCCTGTTGGTCCTGTGGACCGGTTGGACCAACCGGCCTGTTGGTCCTGTGGACTAGTTGGACCAACCGGCCTGTTGGTCCTGTGGATCGGTTGAACCAACCGGCCAGTTGGTCTTGTGGACCGGTAGGACCAACTGGCCACTTGGTCGTGTGGACCGGTTTGACCAACCGGCCAGTTGGTCTTGTGGACCGGTTGGACTAACCGGCCTGTTGGTCCTGTGGACCAGTTGGACCAACCGGCCAGTTGGTCCTTTGGACCAGTTGGACCAACCGGCCTGTTGGTCCTGTGGACCAGTTGGACCAACCAACCTGTTGGACCTGTGGACCGGTTGAACCAACCGGCGTGTTGGACCTGTGGACCGGTTGGACCAACCGGCCTGTTGGTGCTGTGGACCGGTTGGACCAACTGGCCAGTTGGTCCAATGGACCGGTTGGACCAACCGGCCTGTTGGCCTTGTGGACCGGTTGGACCAACCGGCCTGTTGGTCCTGTGGACCGGTTGGACCAACAGTCCATTGGGTCCCGTGGACCGGTTGGACCAACCGGCCTTTAAATCCTATGGTCCGATTGGACCAACTGGCCTGTTGGTCCTGTGGACCGGTTGGACCAACCGGCCTGTTGGTCTTGTGGACTAGTTGGACCAACCGGCCTGTTGGTCTTGTGGACCGGTAGGACCAACTGGCCACTTGGTCGTGTGGACCGATTGGACCAACCGGCCAGTTGGACGTGTGGACCGATTGGACCAACCGGCCAGTTGGTGCTGTGGACTGGTTTGACCAATCGGCTAGTTGGTCCTGTGGACCGGGTGGACCGACCGGCCTGTTGGTCTTGTGGACCGGTTGGACCAACCGGCCAGTTGGTCCTTTGGACCAGTTGGACCAACCAGCCAGTTGGTCCAATGGACCGGTTGGACCAACTGGCCAGTTGGTCCAATGGACCGGTTGGACCAACCGGCCTGTTGGCCTTGTGGACCGGTTGGACCAACCGGCCTGTTGGTCCTGTGGACCGGTTGGACCAACAGTCCATTGGGTCCCGTGGACCGGTTGGACCAACCGGCCTTTAAATCCTATGGTCCGATTGGACCAACTGGCCTGTTGGTCCTGTGGACCGGTTGGACCAACCGGCCTGTTGGTCTTGTGGACTAGTTGGACCAACCGGCCTGTTGGTCTTGTGGACCGGTAGGACCAACTGGCCACTTGGTCGTGTGGACCGATTGGACCAACCGGCCAGTTGGACGTGTGGACCGATTGGACCAACCGGCCAGTTGGTGCTGTGGACTGGTTTGACCAATCGGCTAGTTGGTCCTGTGGACCGGGTGGACCGACCGGCCTGTTGGTCTTGTGGACCGGTTGGACCAACCGGCCAGTTGGTCCTTTGGACCAGTTGGACCAACCAGCCAGTTGGTCCAATGGACCGGTTGGACCAACCGGCCAGTTGGTCTTGTGGACCGGTAGGACCAACTCGCCACTTGGTCGTTTGGACCGGTTTGACCAACCGGCCAGTTGGACGTGTGGACCGATTGGACCAACCGGCCAGTTGGTCTTGTGGACCGGTTTGACCAACCGGCCAGCTGGTCCTATGGACCGGTTGGACCAACCGGCCTGTTGGTCCTTTGGACCGGTTGGACCAACCGGCCAGTTGGTCCTGTGGACCTGTTGGACCAACCGGCCTGTTGGTCCTGTGGACAGGTTGGACCAACCGGCCTGTTGGACAAGTGGACGTTTGGACCAACCGGCCAGTTGGTCCTGTGGACCAGTTGGACCAACCAACCTGTTGGACCTGTGGAGCGGTTGGACCAACCGGCCAGTTGGACCTGTGGACCGGTTGGACCAACCGGCCAGTTGGTCCTGTGGACCGGTTGGACCAACCGGCCAGTTGGTCCTGTGGACCGGTTGGACCAGCCGGCCTATTGGTCCTGTGGACCGGTTGGACCAACCGGCCAGTTGGTCCAATGGACCGATTGGACCAACCGGCCTGTTGGCCCTGTGAACCGGTTGGACCAACCGGCCTGTTGGTCCAATGGACCGGTTGGACCAGCCGGCCAGTTGGTCCTGTGGACCGGTTGGACCAACTGGCCACTTGGTCATCTGGACCGGTTTGACCAACCGGCCAGTTGGTCTTGTGGACCGGTTGGACCAACCGGCCTGTTGGTCCTGTGGACCAGTTGGACCAACCGGCCAGTTGGTCCTTTGGACCAGTTGGACCAACCGGCCAGTTGGTCCTGTGGACCAGTTGGACCAACCAACCTGTTGGACCTGTGGACCGGTTGAACCAACCGGCGTGTTGGACCTGTGGACCGGTTGGACCAACCGGCCAGTTGGTCTTGTGGACTGGTTGGACCAACCGGCCAGTTGGTCCTGTGGACCGGTTGGACCAACCGGCCTGTTGGTCCTGTGGACCGGTTGGACCAACCGGACAGTTGGTCGAATGGACCGGTTGGACCAACCGGCCTGTTGGCCCTGTGGACTGGTTGGACCAACCGGCCTGTTGGTCCAATGGACCGGTTGGACCAGCCGGCCAGTTGGTCCTGTCGACCGGTTGGACCAACTGGGCTATCGGCCCTGTGGACCGGTTGGACCAACAGTCCATTGGGTCCCGTGGACCGGTTGGACCAACCGGTCTTTAAATCCTGTGGACCGATTGGACCAACTGGCCTGTTGGTCCTGTGGACCGGTTGGACCAACCGGCCTGTTGGTCCTGTGGACTAGTTGGACCAACCGGCCTGTTGGTCTTGTGGACCGGTAGGACCAACTGGCCACTTGGTCGTGTGGACCGATTGGACCAACCGGCCAGTTGGACGTGTGGACCGATTGGACCAACCGGCCAGTTGGTCCTGTGGACCGGTTTGACCAATCGGCCAGTTGGTCCTGTGGACCGGTTGGACCAACCGGCTTGTTGGTCCTGTGGGCCGGTTGGACCAACCGGCCAGTTGGTCCTGTGGACCGGTTGGACCAACCGGCCAGTTGGTCCTATGGACCGGTTGGACCAACCGGCCAGTTGGTCCTGTGGACCGGTTGGACCAACCGGCCAGTTGGTCCTGTGGACCGGTTGGACCAGCCGGCCAGTTGGTCCTGTGGACCGGTTGGACCAGCCGGCCGTTTGGTCCTGTGGACCGGTTGGACCAACCGGCCGGTTGGTCGTGTGGACCGGTTGGACCAGCTGGCCAGTTGGTCCTGTGGACCGGTTGGACCAACCGGCCAGTTGGTCCTATGGACCGGTTGGACCAACCGGCCAGTTGGTCCTGTGGACGGGTTGGACCAGCCGACGATTTGGTCCTGTGGACCGGTTGGACCAGCCGGCGAGTTGGTCCTGTGGACCGGTTGGACCAACCGGCCAGTTGGTCCTATGGACCGGTTGGACCAACCGGCCAGTTGGTCCTGTGGACCGGTTGGACCAACCGGCCAGTTGGTCCTGTGGACCGGTTGGACCAACCGGCCAGTTGGTCCTGTGGACCGGTTGGACCAGCCGGCCAGTTGGTCCTATGGACCGGTTGGACCAACCGGCCAGTTGGTCCTGTGGACCGGTTGGACCAACCGGCCAGTTGGTCCTGTGGACCGGTTGGACCAACCGGCCAGTTGGTCCTGTGGACCGGTTGGACCAACCGGCCAGTTGGTCCTGTGGACCGGTTGGACCAACCGGCCAGTTGGTCCTGTGGACCGGTTGGACCAACCGGCTAGTTGGTCCTGTGGACCGGTTGGACCAACCGGCCTGTTGGTCCTATGGACCGGTTGGACCAACCGGCCAGTTGGTCCTGTGGACCGGTTTGACCAATCGGCCAGTTGGTCCTGTGGACCAGTTGGACCAACCAGCCAGTTGGTCCAATGGACCGGTTGGACCAACCGGCCAGTTGGTCTTGTGGACCGGTAGGACCAACTGGCCACTTGGTCGTTTGGACCGGTTTGACCAACCGGCCAGTTGGACGTGTGGACCGATTGGACCAACCGGCCAATTGGTCTTGTGGACCGGTGTGACCAATCGGCCAGCTGGTCCTATGGACCGGTTGGACCAACCGGCCTGTTGGTCCTTTGGACCAGTTGGACCAACCGGCCAGTTGGTCCTGTGGACCGGTTGGACCAACCGGCCTGTTGGTCCTGTGGACAGGTTGGACCAACCGGCCTGTTGGACAAGTGGACGTTTGGACCAATCGGCCAGTTGGTCCTGTGGACCAGTTGGACCAACCAACCTGTTGGACCTGTGGACCGGTTGGACCAACCGGCGTGTTGGACCTGTGGACCGGTTGGACCAACCGGCCAGTTGGTCCTGTGGACTGGTTGGACCAACCGGCCAGTTGGTCCTGTGGACCGGTTGGACCAACCGACCAGTTGGACATGTGGACCGGTTGGACCAACCGGCCAGTTGGTCCTGTGGACCGGATGGACCAACCGGCCAGTTGGTCCTGTGGACCGGTTGGACCAGCCGGCCTGTTGGTCCTGTGGACCGGTTGGACCAACCGGCCAGTTGGTCCAATGGACCGGTTGGACCAACCGGCCTGTTGGCCCTGTGGACCGGTTGGACCAACCGGCCTGTTGGTCCAATGGACCGGTTGGACCAACCGGCCTGTTGGCCCTGTGGACCGGTTGGACCAACCGGCCTTTAAATCCTGTGGACCGGTTGGACCAACCGGCCAGTTGGTCCTGTGGACCGGTTGGACCAACCGGCCAGTTGGTCCTGTGGACCGGTTGGACCAGCCGGCCTGTTGGTCCTGTGGACCGGTTGGACCAACCGGCCAGTTGGTCCAATGGACCGGTTGGACCAACCGGCCTGTTGGCCCTGTGGACCGGTTGGACCAACCGGCCAGTTGGTCCTGTGGACCGGTTGGACCAACAGGCCAGTTGGTCCTGTGGACCGGTTGGACCAGCCGGCCTGTTGGTCCTGTGGACCGGTTGGACCAACCGGCCAATTGGTCCAATGGACCGGTTGGACCAACCGGCTTGTTGGCCCTGTGGACCGGTTGGACCAACCGGCCTGTTGGTCCAATGGACCGGTTGGACCAGCCGGCCAGTTGGTCCTGTGGACCGGTTGGACCAACTGGCCTATTGGCCCTAAGGACCGGTTGGACCAACAGTCCATTGGGTCCCGTGGACCGGTTGGACCAACCGGCCTTTAAATCCTGTGGACCGATTGGACCAACTTGCCTGTTGGTCTTGTGGACAGGTTGGACCAACCGGCCTGTTGGCCCTGTGGACCGGTTGGACCAACCGGCCTGTTGGTCCAATGGACCGGTTGGACCAGCCGGCCAGTTGGTCCTGTTGACCGGTTGGACCAACTGGCCTATTGGCCCTGTGGAACGGTTGGACCAACAGTCCATTGGGTCCCGTGGACCGGTTGGACCAACCGGCCTTTAAATCCTGTGGACCGATTGGACCAACTGGCTTGTTGGTCCTGTGGACCGGTTGGACCAACCGGCCTGTTGGTCCAATGGACTAGTTGGACCAACCGGCCTGTTGGTCTTGTGGACCGGTAGGACCAACTGGCCACTTGGTCGTGCGGACCGATTGGACCAAACGGCCAGTTGGACGTGTGGACCGATTGGACCAACCGGCCAGTTGGTCCTGTGCACCGGTTTGACCAATCGGCCAGTTGGTCCTGTGGACCGGTTGGACCAACCGGCCTGTTGGTCCTGTGGACGGGTTGGACCAACCGGCCAGTTGGTCCTTTGGACCAGTTGGACCAACCAGCCAGTTGGTCCCGTGGACCGGTTAAAACAACCGGCTAGTTGGTCCTGTGGGTCCACATGTCCAACTAGCCGGTTGGTCAAACCGATCCAAACGACCAAGTGGCCGGTTGGTCCAACCGGTCCACAGGACCAACTAGCCGGCTGGTCCAACCGGTCCACAGGACCAACTGGCCGGCTGGTCCAACCGGTCCACAGGACCAACTGGCCGGTTGGTCCAACCGGTCCACAGGACCAACTGGCCGGTTGGTCCAACCGGTCCACAGGACCAACTGGCCGGTTGGTCCAACCGGTCCACAGGACCAATTGGCCGGTTGGTCCAACCGGTCCACAGGACCAACTGGCCGGTTGGTCCAACCGGTCCACAGGACCAACTGGCCGGCTGGTCCAACCGGTCCATAGGACCAACTGGCCGGCTGGTCCAACCGGTCCACAGGACCAACTGGCCGGCTGGTCCAACCGGTCCACAGGACCAACTGGCCGGTTGGTCCAACCGGTCCATAGGACCAACAGGCCGGTTGGTCCAACCGGTCCACAGGACCAACAGGCCGGTCGGTCCAACCGGTCCAGAGGACCAACAGGCCGTTTGGTCTGACCGGTACACAAGACCAACAGGCCGGTCGGTCCAACCGGTCCAGAGGACCAACTTGTCGGTTGGTCCAACCGGTCCACAGGACCAACAGGCCGGTCGGTCCAACCGGTACAGAGGACCAACTGGCCGGTTGGTCCAACCGGTCCACAGGACCAACTGGCCGGTTGGTCCAACCAGTCCACAGGACCAACTGGCCGGTTGGTCCAACCGGTCCAGAGGACCAACTGGCCGGTTGGTCCAACCGGTCCACAGGACCAACTGGCCGGTTGGTCCAACCGGCCCACAGGACCAACTAGCCGGTTGGTCCAACCGGTCCACAGGACCAACAGGCCGTTTGGTCCGACCGGTACACAGGACCAACAGGCCGGTCGGTCCAACCGGTCCAGAGGACCAACTTGTCGGTTGGACCAACTAGCCGGTTGGTCGAACCGGTCCACAGGACCAACAGGCCGGTTGGTCCAACCAGTCCACAGGACCAACTGGCCGGTTAGTCCGACCGGTCCAGAGGACCAACTGGCCGGTTGGTCCAACCGGTCCAGAGGACCAACTGGCCGGCTGGTCCAACCGGTCCACAGGACCAACTAGCCGGTTGGTCCAACCGGTCCACAGGACCAACAGGCCGTTTGGTCTGACCGGTACACAGCACCAACAGGCCGGTTGGTCCAACCGGTCCAAAGGGCCAACTTGTCGGTTGGTCCAACCGGTCCACAGGACCAACAGGCCGGTCGGTCCAACCGGTCCAGAGGACCAACTGGCCGGTTGGTCCAACCGGTCCACAGGACCAACTGGCCGGTTGGTCCAACCGGTCCACATGACCAACTGGCCGGTTGGTCCAATCGGTCCACATGACCAACTGGCCGGTTGGGCCAACCGGCCCACAGGACCAACTAGCCGTTTGGTCCGACCGGTCCACAGGACCAACAGGCCGTTTGGTCCGAGCGGTACACAGGACCAACAGGCCGGTCGGTCCAACCGGTCCAGAGGACCAACTGGCCGGTTGGTCCAACCGGTCCACAGGACCACAGGACCAACTGGCCGGTTGGTCGAACCGGTCCACAGGACCAACTGGCCGGTTGGTCCAACCGGTCCACAGGACCAACAGGCCGGTTGGTCCAACCGGTCCACAGGACCAACAGGCCGGTTGGTCCAACCGGTCCACAGGACCAACAGGCCGGTTGGTCCAACCGGTCCACAGGACCAACAGGCCGGTTGGTCCAACCGGTCCACAGGACCAACAGGCCGGTTGGTCCAACCGCTCCACGGGACCAACTGGCCGGTTGGTCCAATCGGTCCATAGGAACCAACACGCCGGTTGGTCCAACCGGTCCACAGGGCCAAATGGCCGGTCCACAGGGCCAACAGGCCGGTTTGTCCAACCAGTCCACAGGACCAACTGGCCGGTTAGTCCGACCGGTCCAGAGGACCAACTGGCCGGTTGGTCCAACTGGTCCATAGGACCAACTGGCCGGCTGGTCCAACCGGTCCACAGGACCAACTGGCCGGTTGGTCCAACCGGTCCACAAGACCAACTGGCCGGTTGGTCCAACCGGTCTACAGGACCAACTGGCCAGTTGGTCCAACCAGTCCACAGGACCAACTGGCCGGTTGGTCCAACCGGTCCACAGGACCAACAGACCGGTTGGTCCTACCAGTCCACATGACCAACTGGCCAGCTGGTCCAACCGGTCCACAAGACCAACTGGCCGGTTGGTCCAACCGGTCCACAGGACCAACTGGCCGGTTAGTCCGACCGGTCGAGAGGACCAACTGGCCGGTTGGTCCAACCGGTCCATAGGACCAACTGGCCGGCTGGTCCGACCGGTACACAGGACCAACAGGCCGGTTGGTCCAACCGGTCCACAGGACCAACTAGCCGGTTGGTCCAACCGGTCCACAGGACCAACAGGCCGTTTGGTCTGACCGGTACACAGGACCAACAGGCCGGTCGGTCCAAGCGGTCCAGAGGGCCAACTTGTCGGTTGGTCCAACCGGTCCACAGGACCAACAGGCCGGTCGGTCCAACCGGTCCAGAGGACCAACTGGCCGGTTGGTCCAACCGGTCCACAGGACCAAATGGCCGGTTGGTCCAACCGGTCCACAGGACCAACTGGCCGGTTGGTCCAACCGGTCCACGGGACCAGCTAGCCGGTTGGTCCAACCGGTCCACAGGACCAACAGGCCGTTTGGTCCGACCGGTACACAGGACCAACAGGCTGGTCGGTCCAACCGGTCCAGAGGACCAACTTGTCGGTTGGTCCAACCGGTCCACAGGACCAACTGGCCGGTTGGTCCAACCGGTCCACAGGACCAACAGGCCGGCTGGTCCAACCGGTCCACAGGACCAACAGGCCGGTTGGTCCAACCGGTCCACAGGACCAACAGGCCGGTTGGTCCAACGGTCCACAGGACCAACAGGCC